ATCAAGTGACCTGACCTAGAAAACTTCTTTGCAAAGCTTAGGAAATGTATATGTCCTACAAAACATCAACCCCAGGGTGCGTGTTCTGTATGTAAGTAATGAGGTTTATAAGGTGACGAAGGATGTTCGAGAACCCATCAGCTAAAAGATAAGGTATTGGCTGCTGAGACCTGATGGGATGAATTGCCACAGATAGCACTAGGAAGAGGACATAGCATTTAAAAGAAGATACTCCATGTTATTTTTCAAGAGATATGTGCTCAGTAATGAGGCTGTTAAATGGACTTATTAAAAATTGAATTAGTTTTAAATAAAATTTGAAAGATAATTGCAAGGACTGTGCGTTTTATAAAAAGTAAATCCAGATGGACATTTGTTTCTTTGTTTAAGGTTGATAAATAAGTTGATTCACAGATGTATGCCCAATTAATGTTTGATATCTAAAAACATAATTTTTAGGAGTGAGCCTTAAGTGTCATGGGACAGATTTGTCACATCAGTTGATGTCAGCCATAGGTAAAATAGTGCCATGTATAAATGTGGTACCATTTCAAAGGTTTAACCAGAAGTCCTTTCCCCCATTCCATTTAATGACAACTATTTATTTACTCACAGAGATGAGGGAAGAGAACTTTCACTCAATATTTAGAGACAGAAATTTAAAGATAAGCACCTCTAGCAGTTGTTTGAATCTTTTTAAGGCTTTAGGTTAGAAATATCTGACATCAGATTATTTCAACCATAGGGTGGGAGGGGATCCTGAAGGATGGTGGGAAATTCTTGTTGGGGAAGTGGGATGGTCTTTATTCACCAGAAGCCTTGGAGAGATCCAAAGAAGCACGGCTGAATTCTGAATTCTTTATAGTTTAGTATCATGGACTAATCTTTGCAATGCCACTTTTTTCTCGTCTAAAAACTTATAAGGGGAACATGGATTCTTAACATAAAAATAATTTATCTATGAAAATTCATTATTTGTTAGTAATCAAAGTGATCATAGTTATTAATGATATAGTAATTATAGTTAAAATGCCATTTTATTTTGTCTGTTTTACCTACTTTCAGTATATGGTAAAAATGATTCCCTAGGTTATTACTCTGCTGTAATTGTCAAAGACTCTTGGTTTCCCAGTGAGTGCTCTCTCTACTTTGCTGGTTTTACAAAGAAGGAACCTTCTATATCACAGGTTCTGTACGCTTTGCATACATCATTGAATGCAGTCCTCCTGGCAGAGAAACTCAAAGCAGTAGGAGAAAATTGAAATTCACAGCAGTGAAATACCCTGCCCCAAACCATACAGCTAGTGAGACTAGGATTTGAACCATAGTCTGCCTTAGAGTCCAACCAAGATCTTTTACAAATATTGTCTCTCTAGTGCAGGATGAATAAAGGGGTGGGGGGTGGGGGTTAACATACAAAACCAGCTGCCAAATCCAAAACTGTTTTGTTTGTAGGTTATCTACCCTAAGAGCATATTTTAAATCACTTACTATTTATTTTAATGTAACCCATGTTACAAAAACCCTCAGTGATTAAAAATCCAGAGTTAAAAAGAAGAAAAATTAGGAAATTATTTACTGCATTAATGGCCTTTGGCTTATTAGAAAGGATGTCTTTAAACATCCCCACTATGTTTTTCCACTTAAAATTCAATTAATGTATCTTCTTAGCATTGGCTGTCCCGGATACTGTCTACATTACTGCAGAAGTTAAACAGAAAAACGAGTTTTGAATTTCAAAGAACTTAAATCCGGTAATGTTGGAGAAAACAAAGACAAATAATTGGTAACAAAAGCAAAAGTAAAATAAGAAGCATACAGAAAATATACGTTACTCTGGGTGTGGTTTAAAAAAATACTAAGAAATTCATTGCCAGAATGGGACTTGGAGGATAGGTGGAATGATAATAGGAAAAAGAGCAGGTGGAATGGAAGTAACCGTATCTCCTGTACCTGTTCCTTGGTGTGCATGATGGCAAGGTAAGAGCAAGTACTCTTGCTTGAGTGATCAGGTATTTGCCATGAAGTGTTAGAGAAGAGACCAGGAAGGGAGGAGGAGACTGTATCAGGGAGTGCCTGGAGAACCAAGATAACTTGTTTTTACTTAATTTAGGGTCCATGATGGTTTTTGACTTGGCAAATTACGTGTCAGATAGGTTGCTCTGGGACTGTTGGGTAGAACTGATCAGATCCCATAGACAGGGGGCTCCTGAGGTATTCCAAACAAGACCTAGCTCTGCCCCAACTAGAGGGGTAATGGTGGGAATGCAAAGAGAGGGTGGGTAGGAAAGACAATTCTGTAATAAAATGTACAAGACATAGAAATTGGGACTTAAGGAAAAGGGAGGGCCTGAGTATCCAAGAGAAATGTTTAGAGCAAAGGGTTAAGAAGAAAAACCCATGGACAGGGAGGCATAAGAGTCTCATGAGGTCAGTTTTCAGGAACATATTCAATGCTGTTTTTTTTTTAAAGCAACTTCTAGAGTGGGTGATAACTGTGTTTTCCTTGACTAGCTAAGGAATGAATCCATGTTAACAAGAGGAAGTGTTATATTATGCAGAGTCTATAGCACGGTCTGTGCTTGTGTCTGTAAAACAGAGTCAATGATTCTTTGGAAGGAAATTATAAGGTTTAATGGAGCTTCATATCGATACTGAGATATCTAATGGCTTCAATTCATACTAAGCAACACTAATAAAAAGCTATGGTGTGATAAACATTATTGCTGTCATAAAGAGTGGATGGCACTTTATTCTTCTCATTTATATTGACTAAGAGGGATAGAATATGATTTTTCCTTAAAAAATAGCTTCTATCTTAACAACAGAAATACCAGGATGTATGTAAAAATGAGTATTTTCCAGTGTGCTCCTGGCTGTTCCTTACAAAATTGGATTTCTTTTGGTAAGTAAGGAGAGGTGAATGAATACTAAGTATGCCACCAGCCTTGTGTGCCACAGCTTGTTCTATGCTAGTATCTGTGAATTGCATATAGTGGTTTTTTTAAATCTCTAAAACTCTACGCGTCTGGTTCTATAATAATCTTTATTTTACAGCTGAGAAAATTTAGGATTAGGGAATTTAAGTGACTTGTCTCCAAATTAAACAGCTGGTGAAAATTTCTGGTTGAAGTCAGCTGCAGTGGGAATGGTAAAGGGCAAATGGATGAATATAACTTACATCTACGCGATAGAACCAAACAGCCTTGGTGATTGATTGAATAATGAGATTGAGTAGCTTTCGGGCCAGGAGTTCTCCAGGATGGCTCTAAGTTTTCTGGCTTGCAAGTCAGATATAGAGTTGTTCCTTTTCTGACATAGGGAACATCTGAGAGATATTAGTGGGAGAGGAGATGAAAGATTGAGCTTGAGCATGCTGTTTGACCTGAGTGTGAGACATGCAAGGGGACAGATTTAGAAGACTGCTGATTATAAGGATTAGGAGGCTTAGAAGGCAGGAATGGACTGGAGATAACGCTTTGGAGTCACCTGCTCTGAATTAATCATTAAAGACATGGATGAGTATAATATTGCCCAAAGAGCATGTGTAGAACAGAAGATAAAAGGGCTATGTGTGACGCCCAGGGGAACAGCTGCCTTCCAGGGGAAAGCAGAGAGAGAAGCCCACAGAATAGACTGATAAGAGTGTCCGGAAAAGTGAAAATCCTCAGGGCACACACGATTTCATTTTGTAGATCAGTGACATCACTTCTTTGTGAAAAAGCTATTGCAATATTGCATCTCCTCTCCATCTCTCCCCTGTCTTTAGTGTAGTAAGTGGCACATTTTGTATTTCCATTAGGAGAGGAGAAAAAAGAAGAGAAAAGATTTCATTGATATTGCCAGTACATGGTGTATGACTGATATGGGCATTTGCATGCTTGTCCATAACTCTGTAGCTAGGTTTCAACAAAAAGATGGGTGAAACCTTCAAAATGACAAACGCTTATCTTTTGCATAATCCTGGGGCGGGGGTAGAAACAATGGGAGAGTAGGACTATTAGAGTTCTTTTGTTGTGCTACTACTTTTATCCCAGGAGTCATTCATAATTAGGAATGATAGTAACTTTGAAAGGTTTATGCAAATGTATACCTTGCCAGAATGTAGCCCAACTGGTCTAAGCAGGAGCATTAATGTAAAATAAAAACTTCTTGGTTAACAGAAATTTCTGTCATGAAAGTTAGTGCCATCTATGTAATACAATTGCCAAAAGAAGACACCTTCCAGCAGGCTGAAGCAGCTCATGTTTCCAGAGACTTATTTCATGACTACAGAGTTGTATTAGTTGATGTGTTTCTTCATTTTTATAAGCCTATACTGTAACAAGTATTGTCTATTACCTAGCCTAACTATGGTGTCAGTAGACTTTGAAAGAAACCAAATGAAAATAACATTATAATAATCTCTGATGAATTTAGTTATGCTATGTTAACCTGGAATGAAATTCCTGGTTTTCACACAATTTTAAGATAAGGTTAGACAAGAATGTTTGAAAAGGTAGTTAGTGATTATAACTGTGTTGAAAATTAAATCAGAAAGTTTAAAGAAAAAAACTTGTTTGGAATAATAGTGGCAATATATTTAAAGTAGTTGCTCATTGAAGCAGTGATAAAATGAAAATTTTAGGTAGATTCTAGTTTCAAATCTAGTCTGTTCAAATATTTTCAGCTTCAGAACAAAGTGAGTTTTTGTGTTTTAAATTAAGAAGAATTAAGTATAAATATCTGGAGTACCACGAAGCTATGGCAATTCAAGAATTCATGATTAACCTAATCTTTACTCGTAGAGATAAATTTGCAGTACCAATGTTTTTCATGTACCTTATTTATTACTGGTCATTCTAATCTGTGATTGATAATTTTATATATAAAGTACTTCAAAGCACCTCCAAAGAGTCTTCTCAAAAATGCTTTTTTAAGATAGATCTTCTAGGTCTTCTGCCTTATTTTCATCCATAATTAACTATTGTGGGGGTTGTTTTTGCTTCTTTAACAGATAAATGGCGGTATGGGAGTTCTTGAATTTATTTCTATAATACTTTACATCAAATAATTTTTAGAATTCTACAATCAGAATGCTTTGCTTTAGGAATTTTACTTATAATTTTATGACCACTGAAGGAATTACCTTATTTATAACAACCAATACTTTGTTCTTTTACTCATTTATTTAACCATAAGTCAGTAATAATTTTTATGGTGGCAGGGGGAGGAGAATGGGCTGGTGACTATCTACATCTTAAAATCTGATTTTTTTTTAATTTCTTGTAGGTTTTATTGGGATTTAATAATGCTTATAATGATGGTTGGAAATCTGGTCATCATACCAGTTGGAATCACATTCTTTACAGAACAGACAACAACACCATGGATTATTTTCAATGTGGCTTCAGATACAGTTTTCCTTTTGGACTTGATCATGAATTTCAGGACTGGGACTGTCAATGAAGACAGTTCTGAAATCATCCTGGACCCTAAAGTGATCAAGATGAATTACTTAAAAAGCTGGTTTGTGGTTGACTTCATCTCATCAATCCCAGTGGATTATATCTTTCTCATTGTGGAAAAAGGAATGGATTCAGAAGTTTACAAGACAGCCAGGGCGCTCCGCATTGTGAGGTTTACAAAAATTCTCAGTCTCTTGCGTTTATTACGACTTTCAAGGTTAATTAGATACATACATCAGTGGGAAGAGGTAAGACATGTCTTTTACTTTTTTAAAGTATACCATGAGATTTTAAACTGTAACTGTTTTAAAATGAACAGCTGTGCTATTTATAATGAGTTTTATGAAATTCAAGAAGAAAAATTTCATTTATTTTTCTTTTTGGTACATAAGTGATATATTTTTATCTTCAAAAGATAAGGTAAAATACTGGATTTGAATGAACTGGAAAAATTAGTGATTGTACAACACTTTTTTAATGCCAATTCAGTCTTTTTAAAAACAAATCTACTTTAATCAATGAATTTTTATCCTAACCAATGCAGCCCCTCTTCACCATGGGAGGCTGTTTTTGTCTAATATCTAATATTAGGTTGTTTTATATAATACATCAAGAATCATCCTTGATGAAGATGTGTAGGGTCTGATTGCTAACCTAGTTTGTATCATTAGTTCTATGAAGTAATGTAGGATATGTTTCCTCTAATATTGAAATATCAGAGAATTTGTGTTTGAAGAAAACAGATTTTTCTTAGTATTTTCAAGTTGCATATTTAAAGACTGACTTTACCATAATAATTTTGCTCATTGTTATTCTTTGCCTATAATTATTTATTATAATTTCTCTCTATTAGTTCATTTCATAGTCCTGAAAAGCAGCATGCCCAGGAGGGAAATTACTACATAGAAAACACAAATAGTGCAGTGAATGCATACATACAGTAAATCTGGCCAATATTTTGCTGACTAGGGCATCTGTTGCTCTTAGGCAGTTGATGGGCCCTTAAGAGGCTCAAACGACTGGAGTTTCCAAAGATCTGAGTTAAAGGTACCATTACCAAGCAAAGGAGTTTATGTCCCTAATTCCAGAGTTTGCATTTTAACTTTTTTGTTTTCTTTTCCTCCTATCCCTCAGAAATTAATTATAGCCTTAATTTTATTGTCTGTACAAAAATGGAAGTCAGGAAGGCCTCCAGAGTGCCTATACCTGAGCTAGAGAAAACAATACACTGGCTGGGGATTCATTATCACTTCACTAGCTACATAAATGCTTTTAGCATTTTTGGGCTGAATTATGTTTTGGAATTTAGGTTTGAGCAAGTCATAAAATGGAACTTCTGTGAACATTAGCTCTGCTTTCTGTGAGGCTGAAGCAGTGTTTGTGTGTGCTTGTCAATGACATTCTGGCTCATAGAATTTCAGGAAATGACATACAGTAATAAGACACAGCATAAGACACTGCTAAAAAGGCATAAAAATGGATCATCTTAAAATATGAATACGGATTATATTTAAAATCAAATGAAGCACATTTGAGAAATTGGATTCATCTTGTAATGTGTCTCTGTATAGCACATTCCACCTAAAATGTAATAACTGGTTAGTTCTCGAACATTATGCATATGTTACTATCAAAACAAGATGGTTATTGAGAATAATAGCTAATATTTATTGAGGGCTTGTTATCTGTCAAGTAATGTATTTGACTCTTTACATGGATTTGTTAGTTGCCTTTTCCCAATCACTCTGGTAACTTGCCCAGATTCACAGGGTTCATAGTAAGGGGATACTGGGATTTGAACCTTGGCAACCTGACTCTAAAGCCAAAGCTCTTAACCACAAAACTGTACAGCCTCTCACTGTAACATATGCTCTTTCAATGATAAATAACCTTAATATTATACCAGTTTATTTTTATATATATATATACACACACACACACACACACACACACATATATATATATATATAAAATCAAAAATTGTAGAAAACTTTTCTTAACTAAACTTTGTGGTCCAAGCAATGTAAGATTTGAATGTTTACCTCTTAAAACATGATCACAAAAAGTATCTTAATGAGTAATTTATGAGAAGAAAAATCACTGATACAAATACCCAGTCAATTAAGAATACAGTGGACAATGCTAATATTTTCAATGTCTTGTAGTTTTAACCTAGTTACCCTAGAGAATGGCAGAAGGATGAACAGATGGTGTTCTATCAGATAAAATGGGAGGCTAGGCGGTCATACACGAGGACACTCCGTAACGCTGATGTCCTGTGGTTCCTGGCAGCGGTCACAGGCACCCAGCTCTGTGTAACTTGATGGTGCTTTAAAGATGCCATGATACAATTCAGGAACAGCGGCTCACTGCCATCAGTACTGTAAATGCAATTTGATATGCACTTACAGACATTTGGTAATCAAACACATTCAGGCTAGAGTTGTGAGTTGGCAAGATCTTTCTTATAAATAAATGACCTTGATAATAAATGAACCATAAGCTCATTTAATGAAGAATGTTTTCTTGATTATTTGATACCCCCATATAATATCACATATATCATGCATATTTAATGCCTGTTACTAATACTGCTAAAAAGAGAAAAAACAGTAGTAATATATGCAGAATTTAATATGGATTTATTATTTCATCACCTCCATGATTGAAACCAAAATCACAAAGAAACTTGAATGGCTCCAAACTGGTAAATCTCTACCTTAGTTTTATAAATGCCACCAGGATGTGTTCATAAGTAGAAATACAACAAATAATCAGAAGTTGCTCTGTGAGCATTTGGAATGAGAGTGCAGAGGAAGATGTAGGTTCACCCACATGCCTTTAAGTTCTGAGTGTTTTAGTACCAAGCTGGCTAATGCTAAATCCAGCAGATTTAGGGAAGTAATGTGTGAAGTCTGGAAGCTGCCACTGTTCTGAATGAATCATTCCCAAGGAAAGTGCCTGCCTTCTATAGGAAGCTGCTTTCATCTTCAGTGATACACTTTTTTTTCCCCCTGGTCTGAATAAGTTCAACTGAAAAACCACAAGAAGTGCCAAAGCCAGATAAATTAGAGAAATGTTGTGAATGAAATAAAGAAACTTCAAAGTTTATCTCTTATGTTACTATCCTTGTTAAAGTTGAGTAGTCGCTAGTATAGAAGGAAAGAGCTGATTTGGCCGACTGACTTACAAACGGCATTGTGTGAAGAAGTGAGGGGGCAAGTTGTTTTCACAAGGGAATGATAAGATCAATGGCTTTAGGATGCAAAATTAAGCTTCTGGCACAGTAGTGAAACTTTAGATATATTGCCAGGTGAGGTGGAAATCTGGGGCAATTATTTAGATAAATCAGGCCAGCAAAATCTTTTCTCTGTAATTTCCAGAAAACTCAGGTGACTCTCTCCCACTCTTGTATTTTGACTTAAAAAAATAATTCCTTTATTTAGCATTGTTGTTGTTAGTTATTGCTATATTTCAAGTGAAGTCAGTGACCCAGGGCACAGTGCTATTTTGTGACGTATCGCAGGGAGAACCTGTTCTCTGTGATCCTCCTGAAAGAGACATATGGTGAGGAAATCCTCAGAAATTAAATGGAATATTATTAACAGTTTTTGACAATCACAAGCCAAGAGGGTAGATTAAGAGCTTAGTAAGTAGGAGATTATTCGGTTAGCAAAGGTGAAGAGTTCTAGGAACATAGAATGCTACAGCTGCTGATCCCAGTTATTTTACCAAAGGCGGATGATCCTTGAAATTATTAGATATTGAGGGAACAGTAATTGAACAGGGAACTATTACTCTGTAATGGTTATTCTATTTGTAGGATTGAATGTCACAGAAAGTAAAGATTCTTCATGGCAGTGTAAAAAAAGTATGGTAAACGCATGATACTCGTATAATAACCATGGCTTTGGAACACATATCTGTAATATTTTATTTTTCATTCCTCATGAACTATCCCCTCAACCTTCCTTGGGTAGAGTTTAGACCTGTCACAATTAACTAAACCTGTCTTGAGGCAAGAAAGAATCCTGTAGTTCTGATCTTCGTATGTGTCTGTAGCAATTTCAGATGAATAATGTGCCCAGAACATTGCAGTGCTCCTCTAGCAATCAATATTAGATTTTTACATTGGCTTAGGGGCAGATTTATGTACAAATTATGTTTGTACATTAATAAACATTAATAAGAAAATTTATTCTACGGGTATCTAATACAGACTGCAGTTTCTGTCTTTGATTGATTTTAGCATTCTAATTGGTTTGGATTAGAATTAACTGTTGCTATAAATTGTTTACATATAATCATACAATACATATTATAACTACTTTCATTTTTTAGAAAACATACAGAATTCTAAGACTTGCTGTGAGGCAACACCAGTGTTTCCCTAAACCTGCCCTCTACTAGACCTTCGGGAGGCTCCCTATTGCCCATCACATCAAATCTGTGTTTCTCTGCTGTGCCTTCAAGGCTCTCCAGCAAACCATTCCCCCGTCTCGCCATTGTCACTTCATATTTGCGCCCAACAGCTCTTTTCTGTGTTTTAGTTTCATAATGCTTCTTGTAGAGAATGATTTCTTTCTGCTTGTATAATTTTGCATGTGCCATGCCTCAGATTTGGAAAGCCTTCTTTTTTCCCCTAGCATTCAGTTAAAATTCAGCTAAAATTTTCTCCAGAAAAAATCCTACATTGATGAACTGCACTATAAGGGGCAGTAGTTACACTTTGACCAATTCTGCTGGCTCTGTCTGCATTTGTTCATGCTCACAGCTTGGTGAATACTCGTATATACATTCCTTTTCTTTTCCTGGGCATAAATGTCTATAGGGAAGAGTCAGTGTCAACTTTTGCCCTTGAATCTCCTTGTACACTAGGACAGAGTTCTAAATACAATAGGTTATCTGAACATACCTGTCTGCTGAGTGCATGGCAATCCTCCACGTTCTAAATCCATTATATAATTACAAAGAAAGAGTCTTTCTTCACTCCCAAGCATTTACTGAGTAGCTTCTCTTTGCAGATGCTACACATGAGAATACAAAGCAGATCCCAACTTTGTAGGAAAAACAGACATATGAGCAAATAATCCCAGATGGTGTGGTAAATGGTGGCATAAAAGAGGAAGTGTACAATGCAGCTTTTTTGCACGTGAAGAAAGCTTCAGAAATTCTTGAACTGAGTTTTGAAGCTGGAGTCTGGATGACCAAACTGGACACAGTGGGGCAGTGGAGTGCATTCATAAAG